TAGGACTCCTCTGCTGACCACCGTTTATCATCTTAGTGGTGACTTGCCCAGGGTTATGATTTACAGGGAGTGGGGTGGTGGAGTGGAGGCGTCCCTTGTACCCGCCAGGTCTCAGCTCTCCCTGGAGAAGGGTAGCTTCCATATTTACAAAAGAGCCCATACCTGTTCCTCTTCCACATTACACACATATTTTCCAGTGTCCTGGGACAATCTGCGCATTCCTGGGGTGCTCCAGAGGCTGGGATTCACGTACCTGGTGGTTGCTGCTCTTGAACTCCTGTTTACAAGGGCTGGGGCTGAGAGCGAGACCTTGGTGAGTTGACAAATTATACCGGAGTGGAGTTTGGGAGCTTTTTTTCTTGTTTGGGCACAAAGAACGCAGGAGAAATGATGAGAAAACATGTAGTGTCTTATCTGGTGTGTATTGCAGCATGACCTGGCAAAAATTTTGGAGAACACGCACCCTTCAGCGTCCCACTCTGCATTTTGTCACATCTGGCTTTGCTGTATTGAGGATTTCATTGATCCATTTTGAAAAGCAGCGTTCCCAGGCACTTCTGATGACTTTTCACTGCCGCAGGACCTCAGGGACAGGCATCTCTATGCTAAGTCCTGCGGCCTGTATTTTGTCCGGTTAATTTTGGCAGCGTTTTGTCACAGCAGGGGAAAGTAATATTGTTTTCTGGCCTTTCTGGAGTCTTGTTTTCCCAAAAGGCTTTTGTTCTACTCATGAATCAAAATTCCTTTTGACATTTTCCAAGCTCAAAAACATTGTGGGCTTTTGTTTTGGTTTCTTTCCCCACCCCCAAGTAACTGAGTGCAATTGTTTGTGAAGATGAAAGGTCCATTGGTAGAGCCCAGTCCTGCAATGACAACAGCTCCCTCTTGGCTCTGGGGAAAGAAATGCCTGCCAGGAAGTACAGGATGTCCCCAAGGGCATGTTTTTTACTTGCCAGCTAATACCTCCCTCCCTCCCTCCCACAGGAGACGGCATGTCCTGCTCTGCAGGATATTCTCCCTTACTGGCCTCAGTGGATTTTCATGCTGATTTTAGAAGTGATTTGGCTCTGCCTGACCTTTCTGTTACCAGTGCCAGGTTGTCCCAGGTAAGGCTGTGCACTCAAGACTGCTTTCTAGAGGGCATCAGATTGTTTTTCTTCTGCCAAGTAAAAGAGACATTTTAATAGCCATGGGGAAAGAATGCAGAGGAGAGCTTTTAGGCTAGCGGGGTCAAGGGAAGCATTTATTGTGCAAAACTTTCTTTACTTCGGTACTAAAGTACCTGGTGTTATCAAGGTGGCATCATTGTTCCTTTCTGTTTAAAGAAGAGGCCTAAAATCTCCCTGAGGTTTGTGTTCAGTGATGTACGATCATCGTGATGTCAGGTAGCCACAGCTGAACCGAAGCACTGCTTTAGGCTCCCAGTACTGCCCGTCCACCCACCTGCTCACGGCGTTGCCATGACCAAAACAGGGTGGCCACCAGTCAGCTGTCACATAGGACCTGTGTTTCCCTGTGTGCCTCTGGCCAGCAAGGACATGGGACATTGAGCTCCTGTTCAGGTGGAGCGTACCAACGCTTTGTGCCTGTTGGTTTCTGTCCTAGGGGCTATCTGGGTCCTGGGGGCATTGGAGACTTTGGAAACTATCCCAACTGCACAGGAGGGGCGGCTGGTTACATTGATCGTTTGCTTCTTGGAGAAAAACATATCTATCAGCATCCCTCTTCAAATGTGAGTGGGTTTGGGGTTGCAGTACAAAGCTGCAGGCTGGCACTGAACACAGCTGTCAAGGGGCTTGGGAATGGGACATGCAAGGAGACGGAAGAGAAACGAGATGGGGGCTCAGGAGCCTTTAACAACTGTTTTCTCTCTAAGGTGATCTACCAAACGACGATGCCGTATGATCCTGAAGGGATCCTGGGGACCATAAATACCGTTTTAATGGAAAAACATTCCTGGGACTGCAGGTACCTCTTTTCTTTCTGGCCATGTGCTGTAATGGGAAGATTTGAAGGAATCTTGGAGGTGGGGAGGCAACTTGGTTTTTTTATTTGAGGCGGAGACTGGTTCTAACAAAACCTTTTCAGGCTGACTTGGCCCAAGGTGATTGTCAAAAAAGAGGAATCTAACCTGGCAGTAACTTGCATTAGACAAACCAAGACTCAGTTTTTGTAAGGGACAGGCACAAGAAGTTTGAAAAACAGCCACCTGGAAACCTTCTTTGCTTGTTTTAAGGTTGGGCTGATGCTGGGAGAAGGCTGCCTCAGGCTTAACATAGTAGGGAAAGGAGAAAAGGTGCCCCTCTGTTGCTAAGTGCGTTGCATTCACATTATTTTCCCTGCGTCCATTCCTTGTGAAAAATCCCCATTCTGAGCCTTTCAGCCTCTTGGTTGATCTAAACCCTATGGGTATTCTGGGTCTTAGCACAAGTAGCTGGCGGTGAATATATCTGGCTCTCGAAATGCAGTTACATTTATAGGCATTCATTATTTTTTTTTGGTATTATTTTTATATTAGGCAGGAAAAATTCTCTTGTTCTACAAAGACCAGCACAAACAAATTATGAGTCGGTTCTTCATATGGAGCATAGTAATGGTAAGTCAGAGAGTTATGTAGCTCTTTAGTAGACGTGTATTTTTATGCAACACAAACTTGCTATTTCTGAAGTGTGTTGCAGTGGTTACATATATATAAAAATATAAACTTTAGCAAATTTCTATTTCAGGGAATTATTTCTGCTATCTTGACAAAATGTTCTAAAGAAGAAGGGTTTATTCCCATAAACAAGAACTTATGGTAAGCAAAGAGATTCAGCTTTTACTATGATTTTGTTAAAGTACTGTTTTACCTTTCTTATACCAAGATCTGTCTGTGTCACATAGTTCTCTAAATAATCTTTCTACTGAAAATGTGTCTAGGTCACTATCGTACGTGACAACCATGAGCTGCTTTGCCTTCATCCTCTTACTGGTGATATATTACCTTGTGGATGTCAAGAAACTGTGGTCAGGTGCTCCATTTTTCTACCCAGGTCAGTAAAATCATGGCAGAAAATGTACTCTTTCCAATTCTTGCTAAACCTATACTATCCCTTTATGTTTTCTGCACTTCCCTTGTCATTAAAAGAGTTGAGATTTAGAACGGGGTAACTTGAAGTATGCCAGAATGATGAACTTGAGCCGAATCCCTGCATAGAACTGAGACATTGCAGACCAGGTATTTAGGAGAGAGGGATGGCCAGTCTTTAAATGAGCGCTGAACCCTGCTCTTGCCAAATGACTGCTCCAAGTTTGGTCTCGAGTGAAGGTCCCAGGGAACAGCTGCCTTAGCACCAAGCAAAATACCACAGCTGGTTCGCAGTTGGTTTGGAAAGGGCTGCTGAGACTTGGGTAACCTAATGGGAATCTCAAAGGGCTGTCAGCAGTGATCCCACTTCTGAGGATGTGGAAAACGAAATCTCAGGGGCAGCTGCCTAGGTTCTGTCTCCCAAAGCATCCCACTGTGGTTTTAACCACACTGGGCTCTTGACAAACATCTGAGGACAGAATCTGAACCCACAGCAGAGGAAACCTTTTGGCAGCTTTGGTGTCTGGTGTCTGGACGGGAAGATGGGTAGGGTGACAGCACGGTATCGAATCTCCTACCAGAAATCCCAGAGCTTTGAAGGGCAGGCAGCATTTGTTTTGCAAGGCAACAGATCTGACCAAATAGGCTGGCACTCAGCCACCCTGAAGACAATAGCTGTAATTATTCTCCTCGTTGGTAAAATTGCAGGCTACCGATTTGCTTGTATTTTCAATGTAGCGTATAGGTTATCTGTATTTCTTTTCAATAAACATCTGAGAGGGAGAGCACCCCTCAGACTGTATTTGAAAGCACACATGTGTAGCATCTCTGGGGCAAGTACTGAGCTGTGGTGATTTGCTGTTGTCTCGGTGCCACTCTTTCATAAGCCTGGCGTGCCTCTGCCTGCTGACTCTGAAGCAAGCTCGTACCTGCTCCTTCAGATGGCATGACCTGTGCTTATTTGCAGGAATGAACTCGATCCTGGTCTACATTGGACACGAAGTCTTTGAGAACTATTTCCCTTTTAAGTGGAAGATGCAAGACAGTCAATCCCATGCTGACCATCTGACTCAAAACCTCACCGCGACAACTCTGTGGGTCGTAATATCGTATTTGCTTTACAGGAGAAAGATATTCTGGAAAATCTGACAGATCAAGGTCTAGCAGGCCTAGATCCTGACGGGGCAAGTGCATAAGGTGGATTAACCTGAAATATTGCTGCTCGTGCTAGGCTGAATTACTAAAAAGGGATCCCAGTTCAAGTTTACAGTGCCATGGAAGCTGTCACCAAGACTTTTATGTGAATAAGGGACAGGATTTTCCTATTTAGCAGAAAATTGCTAGTCTTCTGCAGTTGCTCTCTTTCTGTTTTCTGCATTTTGTAAATATTTTACTGATCTCCCCTCCTTCATCTTGAGAAACTGAATATATTGCAACAGCTGGCCAGTCAAAGACAGCCTGATGGTGCTCGCGAAAGGAATTATTAATGGCTTATTAATGGGCACGCTGCTGCTCCAGGTTTAGGGGCGTTTTCAGGGCCCTTGTGTTACACACCTCTAGCATGGAGGAGGTCACAGTTTCATGTGCTACACTCTAAGAGTGCAGAAGGGCCATCTCCTATAGATTTTATATCATCACTTGGCTATTACCACAGTTCGATCAAAGCAATCCTCTTTCTAAATGGATTTACATCAGGGCCCTGAATGTAAAAACCAGCAATACAGGTAGAAGTCAGTCAAAAAGGAAGAGATAGGAGACCAATTCAGTGTAAAATACACTCACGCTGTGATTTCCAAACTAGCACTAATAAATAAGTGTGAAATACCCTGCTATGTTCTCTGTGAATGTATAAAGATGGAAAGAAACTCTGATGCGCACCTTAGTAGAATGCTGTGGGAAACAACACAAACCAAAGCAAACAACATAAAAGAATACTTCTTAAACAAAGTTTTATTTACAAAGTTTGGGCTCCCCACATAGGAAAAGTAGGCAGTGAATAAACACTTGAGTAGTGTTTGTGTACTGCAGAACCTGTAACTCATCGGGAAGGTCTCTGACTCTCTGGACAAGTGCTTTTCCCCTGCCGTGAGGCTGTTCGTACCATTAAGAGCCTTCCCGTCTCTCCACAAGAGACGCTGCACCGCGGTCCAGTCCGTTCAAGCAAGGGTCTGAAGCAGGAGTATTTTCTCATTAACGCAGAACCTGTGCAAGACCACCATGAGATTTTCCCCGCAGCGCGAGACCTGGCGCTCCATGGCCAGGCGGAAATCTTCTTTCACTCCTTTCGTTATACCCCGGGTAACTGTGTGGTGCCTTAAGCCATGAAGGAAAGAGAGACAGACAAAACCAAAGGAGGGTTATTTGGTGCATTACAGGCATTTGTGAAGTGCTGCATGTCACTTACTAGATCTCTACTGTCCATACCCAAGTTGATGTAAGGAGAAAGAGACAGTCAGTCCTATGCTATTTTTTTTTAAATCAAGTGTTTAGTACTTTCTGAGTCTTTCAACAGAAGTTCCATAAATGTCTACGCTCTCACTGCTTTGATTATGACTGCTGGGGGGTGGGAAATGCTGCTGTTCTGGCTAACAGGAAGATCTATTCTCTTAAACCTTGCTTGGGAAAAAGAAATCTTTTTTTCTCGCTACCTTTACTGCCCAGGCCCCTGCTTCCTTGTAATAACTTTTATAAATTGTTGGAGTAGAAAGAACAGTGTAAAGATGAACCTGCTTTGGCTGGAGGAAGGGGACAGATGGCTGCCACCATTAAGAGCAGGGGGCAGCTTGTACTGGTAGGAAAGTGCAGGAAGGAGCTGCATCATCCTGTGGACACTGATAACTCTCTGACTAATGAAAGGCCAACACAGAGCCCAAAATCAAGGCAGGCTGTGAGCGTGCATCAGCAGAAGCCAGCTCTTGTGGAGACACCAGACACCTGGCAGGGATTACTTTTACTTTAAGCAGAAGTTCAGGACTTGTTTTCAAACAGAACAAAGTTCCTGGCTGCTGAGCAAGCTAAAACAATGCTGGCTGGGAAAACTGGGGATATTGCCCTGTTAAAGGCTGTTCAATACCTTAAGTCTTGCCCTTACAACACTGTTCTGCAGCAGCAAGCACTACATTTCACTTCTACTGGTCCAGGACTGGATGCAAGAAGAATCAAGAATTTGTAACATCTACCTGCAAGCCTTGCTTGGGAAGAGAGGCAAAAGACAGACCCTGAAATGAAAGCCCTAGCACTACTAAAGGAGCAGCATAAATTAGAGAGAAAAACATAAATGCTAACGTTGAGACAATTCCTGAGTCACAGTTCAGAAAGGAAGAGCTGGACCGAACCCAGCAAGCAAACTGAAAGACAGAAAGGAAATAAAAAATAAAGGGTGAAGGCATCTACGTCAACCCAGAGATACTGGAAACGCAAAAGGGCAAAGTCCAGGAACTGCCCTCACCAACAATACCAGCACACCTTCACTTAAATCATCAAATCCAGCATTTGAGAAGAGACCTCTCAAAGTGGGATTCTGTTCACAGTCGCTCCGTCTCTGCCAAAACAGCAGAGACCTCTGTAACGTGTGGAGAAGGCAAAGAGGAGCCTGGAGACTACTGGGCAATTCATTGCTGAGCTACAGTGGGTGATGCAAAACTGCACTGAAAATACTCCAGCATATTCAGAGTTATGGGATAAGCCCTGGTTTGCATCTTTAGTGTTTTAAACATTGCTGGCAACTGAGTGCTGCAGTCAGTTAAAACCTAAAGGAGAGAATGCAACCTACAGCTGCTGAGCAAGCTTTCGAGGATGTCTGTCATGTCAGAGCTGGACAACAGAAAACCAGGATACAGAACAACTGAAATGAAGAAAAGTAGTAACAAATGGATCCAGTAACTAATGTCTTGGAAAAAAAGGGTTATACGCTTGCTAATATGTGATTGAACATCAGCGTCATTTGAGGGGATCGCTACCTTTTTGTTTGAATTCAACAGTGATCATTAAATTGAAAGGACACGGATACCGGCAACTTATGGGAAAAAGAAAAAAGAAATGTTATAATCGAACGACATGGTTTGCCAGGCAATGTAGGCACAAATGGAGAAAAACAAAAAAAAAAGAGAAATACTGAGTAACGAATTGCTGAAAACCATGGGCAGTAAAACACGTTGACAAAACACAGCACACTATGAGCGGGGTTTTTCCACTTGGTACCTGTCAGCAGTCTGTATGCTGGGCTGTAGCAC